CGTAACACGTTGTGCCGATTGCCAGGCGATTTCGGATAGGCAAAACAGCTACAGGTACGTGTAGGGTGACACACCACACAAAAACACCCACACACACATTACGCGGATATCGTTTTCATATAATGTTATTATACGGATTGTAGTGTTCGGTCTATTTTTTATTTCATTGTGTATAGTTTTTTTTTGCAATATTCTCTCGAGCCCGGAAAACCAGAAACAAATTTAATTTCACGAAACGTTTATGCTTCAGAAAGCAATAACATTCATAAATTCGTACACACTACACAATGTTGCGAGTTCAGTGTACGCCAATGCCTGCGACTACTTCACATAATGTATATATTTATACTGATATATGTAGGTATACATTATACAGAGTGATTTTACTGCCATGAATCACTCATTATTTCAAAAACTATTATCGTGTTTGCAAAAAAAATTTTCAATAGTAAATTTTAATGGAAAAAAAATATACATTTTCAAAAACAATATATGTTTCACTATAATTGTAGTATCGTATTATAATTGTTTACTTTTTGTACGAAAACATACATTTTTTTTCATATTGTGAATTATGATGCAGAATATTATTCGCAGTATTTCGAAATGTAAAAATCAAATTTTGGACTAGTAGTGTAAGAGTTAAGTCTTATAGGTGTATAAAGTTCAGATAATCATATAATAGAATGGCACAAGGGTGCCCCACAAAATGTTTGTCCAATACTCATATAAATTTAGCTCATATAAACATTAAATACACATGACTAATAAACAACTAGTATGAAATTTGATTTTTACATATCAAAGTACTCCAAATAATATTCCGCTTCAGACTATTAAATTAAAAATGAATTGTCATTCAAAAGTGTATGAGTCTTATCGTGCCAAAAAGTAAAAACTTAATAAAATATTATGATATTTTTTATTACTCACAATTATCCCTAGAAATAATGAGTGATTCATGAAAAAAATGTGTATTTCTGTATGTGTATAATGTGTATATATTTGTATTATATATTTGAACATTATACAAGCTCAGATTACGAAACACGGGGGGTGGAAGGAAGGTATCTATTATAATTTGGAAATTATTTGAAACTTCAAAACGACTCTATAGATATGTCCTTCACACGTGCGACGTGTCGAAAAAACATGATTTCTATATAATAACATTATCGTATTGTATCGAACGCTGCAGTTTACGCGCTCGCGCACGCCTATATATCCGGTGGATATTACTTTCCTCGTGACATCTTAATCCAGAGCTTTGAACACCAATATAGCATCGGATGCATAATGTCATGTTATACGTCAAGCAAAAAAAAGATTTTTCTAGCAAGTGTGAATTATTATTACGGCGATTTTGTGTAGATGGTGGTTTTCCAGAGCTCTGCGTCGCACGTATGCAATCGAGTGCTATCGAGTGCTCTCGGGTTTGCTGCTTAATAAAGGAGCCTATGCCACGAAAATTTCGTTGTGAACCGAGAAAACAGTTTCACTGCTAATGAAGTAATAATAATAATAATAATAATAATAATAATAATAATAGTAAAGAGAGAAAACGATTGAATTGCAAATTCCGACGATGTGCCTGCAAATAACGATGACGGTCGGGAAAAGAGAACTCGATTTATCGACGGTATATTGTTTCTGTCTATGTACTCCTGGTACAGCTCACGGTTCGTTTATGATTTATTGGGGCAGAAACAAAAATTTACTGTAAAGTAAAAAAAAATGTTAAGGGACGAAGACAATTTCGTAATAATCTTATCGGTTTAAATTAATGTAAAAATATAAATATCATACTTATATGGTATTTTAAATACAACTGTTCGATTGAATTTATTAACTTATATCAAATCGACCAATAATTTGTTACATGTGAATGCTTACATTAAAAAAAAAAATTATCTTCATATTGGAAGAGCATTATGATGTAATAATATAATATGCGCTGCAGTGTTTCGAAATTTCCATTCATCGTGTAATAATCAAAAAATGTAATGACTTGAAAATGTAATGTCTATGTACCTACTTACATAATTAGCACGTTTGTTAATATTCTTATGAGTATAATAAAATTATATCATTGTGGTGATTGGCAATTATTACGAAAGACGAGCTCACGCTATGCGCAATGCGACTGAGAGTAGGTAAGGTCCACTGCTACTAGTTCCCGGATCGGTGACCACCCAGATTCTTATTAGCAAAAACCTTGTCATACATACACGTGTTGCCTACCATAATAACCGCAACAACCTTACCACACCAACTACTCTACCAACCATAGTCCATAATCCCTACAATAACTACTGGTCATAGTTGACGGGCTCAAGTTAAAAAAAAATTTATATTGTTAAATTAAAATTATTTATTGGTTCAAACATTTAAAATTAAAATAACCAAATAAACAACAAACGGTCTCTACTTATTACTTATTAGTTATTAGTCGTGTTATTGTATTAATATATTGTAATATGTAATAATACTGTATTTTATAAAATATGTTAATTTGCAGCAATTATATAATATATTGAATTGGTAATTTATAGAAAATACTACAAGTTTTCTATTGAAAATAAAGTATAAGCATAATGGGAAGTAGGTATTAGTATTGCGACTGTACGCTTTTGTGTGTGTGTGTGTGTGTGTGTGTGTGTGTGTGTGTGTGTGTGTGTGTGTGTGTGTGTGTGTGTGTTGTGTATTATACTGTATTATATGTTTTTTTTACACTTTGGAGTATTAAGCGAAAAACCCATTATGATTATTTTTTAATTTTAATGAAAAAAAAAAATGCAAGCGGTTTTATTAAAGCCATACAATTTTATTATATTACGATACGAAAAAACACTCATACATACAGGTATAATGATAAATTCATTAATGTCAGCCTAACGATTAATCATTCAACAAGCCCGTCACGATATCGACTTTCCAATTTGTCTCTTTACCCTCGGTCGGGTCATTATTGTCTACCTACTGGTAATTGCTTCTAACTGACACGCGTATCGGTAACATGTATTTTACTCATGTTTACAATATTATGTATATATATATATATGTATTATAACTATATAGATTCATATATTATGAATATAAAATTGTATACATCAATGGTTTTAAACTGAGAATTTTATTCAATACAATTTGTAGATTTATATTATTATATGTCAGTGAAGTCTAACAATATGCATATTGTAATGTAATTTTATAAAAAGGGACATTTTACGTAATAACTGCAATTAATTTGATCACAAATTAATTTAAACATCGGAATTTCACTATTTTTACTATTTTTTTTTTCCAAAACGAATGTTTATTGCCACTATTACCCTGCAGTAAGCAATAAACATAATAATATCTAGTAAAGAAAAAGTACAATAACACGTTACCAATAGAATCTCGAGTAGTAATCACCCGAAAAAAAATATTTTGCCAAGTTTTTGACAAAACAACTGGTGGATGGCAAAGAAGGAAAAACGTGGAAATAAGGGAAATCATCAAAATACCTTGTACAACAAGCCACGTGAATGGAAAAAGAATTCAAAGGCTTGAACACACATGATAAGAAAAGAAACCTATGGCAATAGGGTGGCAATTGAGTACAACTGACCAACAGGAAGAAGACCTATAGGTAGGGCTAAGAAACGATGGATGGACGGAGTGCGTCAAGATCTAGAGAGACTGGGGACGACGGAATGAGAGGATAAAATCCAAGAATTTTGTGACTGTGGTGACTAAAACCTAAGGTTGAAAGGCTACATAAAGAAGAATGAATGAAGATAACCACAGTTTATTACACTATACAAGCAGGACAGAAAACGTTTCAAACTAGCAACTTGTCCATGATATTTTATTCTATAATGATATAGTATGTTACTACAGACGGTAACCTCGTTATGCATTACAAATTACAAACAGACATAATAGTGATCATAAAATACAATTTAACTCATTAAATATTTACGACACCTTCAGTCATACTAATTTGATAAATAATTCAAATAATTTTAAATTGTCTGTTTTATTTTTCTAACGAATGACCTGAATAATACATTAACTAATTAAATTATGACGATCGACGTATTAATAATATATTATACGGCATAAACTATGTAGAAAGTAATCACTTACCACGCTATTTTTCTTCTTTAACTATAAAGGATTGTTCTTAGCAAATAACTAAATATACATTTTTAAACGTTATTTATATAAAAAATTAATCAATGTTTGATGTCAGCTATTACTTCTAAGAAGATTTTTTTTTTGAAAAATTAAATTATTCTATTTTTTTTACACTCGTCTCCATAATATATCTATATATGGTTAAATTACTTACTTTTCTAGTGTCAATCAATTTACTCGTTCAATTATTTATTTTAATATAAAATCAGTTAGTTTTATTTTTTCCAATTATTAAAAAGGTTAACAGTCGGTTTACTTTTGGACTATATCTGGAGGATTCCAAGTTGTAAAAAAAGAGTTTGTATACCGAACCATTTAAGACAGTATATCACATGATGATGTAGATATAATATATATATAAAAAAAAAAAACGTCAATATATAGGTACCGAACAATATTTTCGCTCAAGCAATTTTCGTAAAAAAAATACTGGAGTCCCTCTACTTAAAAGTTAAAATAATAATTTTTACGACATTCATCTAAAGTACTCACGAAACTCCATAAAAACATTCTTTTGTATACAAAGAACAATACCCATCCGTTTATCGGTGTAATAACTTCTTTTTATAACGTTTTTTTTTTTTTTTTTTTTTGGTCAATAGCAAAATTATGACTGTATTTACTAAACGAAAATACGAATACAAGTCGTAAATAATTAAATTTAAATATATGTTTTTCGGTACCTGTTTTGACGAGCTTGAATGTGGCGGCATTGTGCGTTTTCAAGGAGTCGTTCAGTGCCGGATGCGTAAGGTCCCTGAGCGATAGGTCTTCGCCCATCGCTGAGGCCATTGGGTTCATTTGTGGATCTTCTCTTAAGAGTTTGTTACCGCCATCCACGACTGTAAGAATAAAGGCAGATGTTACGTTCGCTCAAAAATCGCCGTACGATTTTCATTCAAATATCGAAAAAATTAAATCATATAAATTACTAAACAATATACCCAATACCTGAGGAAAACAGAAAAAAAACGTTTAAAGTGAAAATTCTTTACGTACAAAGCCGAAAAAACTGTTAGGAAATAATTATGCTCCAACATTTAAAGAGGTATATTAAATCAAATGTGAAAAATAGTTTTAAATTTCTCAGAATGGTCATTTATTGTTTGTGCTGCTTACGTATTATTAGATATTGACAACATAACGCAGCGAAAAGGTAGTTTTTTCAAGTTGGTATCACAGCTTTTTTTTTTGGTATTACGTTAAAACAACCAAAGACGTTATATATAATACCTTCTTCGTGAGAACTACATTAAAACTGTAATACCAACTTGAAAAAAAAATTTGAAAAATAGAGATACGATCTTTTTTGCTGCGGCAGGCGAATGTATTATTGGTTATATTGAATGTACCTACTTTATTGTACTGTAAGGTTATTTATTGATGGGTTTTCATTGATTTCAATAATATTTATCGTGTATGGGCCGCTTTAATGGTTAATAGATACAATTACACCAACGTTTATTTATAAAACAGTATTAATAATACATATTATATTATAGGGATATGTAGGTATATTTTTACTATTATTAATAGTATAATTATCTTTTTAGATACCTATTTAATAACCATGTATATAATAATAATTATAAATCGAAACGATTGCAACTTGTACTTATATCAGTTATTTTAGTTATCTACCACAAACCGATAATTACTGCCGTGCCTTTAGCATTAGAAAATCGACCAGAATAAATTTAACGAATTAAAACAAATAAAAAGAGTAAATAGAATAAATACACAAATACATTTTTTTTTGTATCACAAGCAGGTTTTAGGTTCCACTAAAATCCTATCAGTTCATGCAAGTCCTTGCTGCGAGGTTGTTAATTTTCAGAAAAGCAAAGATATTACTAAAAACTACGATAGGCGCTTTTTTTTAAAGCTGGTCAAATTTAGCTTTCTGGAAAATAAGTTATCGATCAAAAATAATTATACGTTTGCTCATGAGTTACATAATTAACAACTTAACATTTCTGAGAGTTTCTAAGAAAAATCAATATTCAATGGCAAAACGGACAAAATACTATAATTACATATTATATTTTCTATGTACGGAGTTGAAAATAAGGACGAAAGCCCACTCTCACACATCTTTGGCAATTTCGTAAGATGGAAGTAACGAGTAACGAATTACACCCAGAATAGTATAATATATGTGCGAATACTCTCGGAAACATAAACGCATATAATATATAGACTTGATAAATCGGCCTGCTCCAGATATTATTATTTATGTCATGCGTTTAATAATAATAAACGCGTATCGTGAGAGTTTCGTCCGAGTCGGCGGCGCCATTGCTCGATGAGCGGCTGCGACTCCAACAACCTACCATATATACGGAGTGATTCATCGAGCATTTTCACCGTAATATGGTCTTTAAACATTGGGTTTATGTAAAAAAAATTCTGATTTTTTTTTTAATTTTCGAGTTAATTTAAAGAACATAATATTATATACTCAAATATTCGACCTATACATTAGGCTAATAACCTGGAAGAGACACTATGAGGAACATAATGTTTAGAGACATAATGTTTTCAAAAAATTCATCTGCTTAACAATAATAAACAGTAAAAAAAATATAGGTGCTCATCTGAAAAAAGTACTTTCTATTGCCACGAAACTCTTCTTGAATTTCATAATTTGAATTGGATACATTAAAAAAAAATTTCATAATATTTTAAAATTTAAAAATTTGAATTAATGTATAATTAAAGGACAAAATTTAGTTTAGAGTGAGCCTGGGGATCCAGGTGGATCCTGGGGATCCATTTTATAAAGTGTATAAAATGTATTTACGACGGTCAACGAGTAACACGCAAACACCTTCCGATATTTTATCCTATCCTCGGAAATGTATGTTCGTTCAGAAATTAGTCAAAATAAATTGTTCTGGTCGCTGTTTTCGTGCCTCCACAATACGGTTTCGGGTTATTCCAGGTTTTCAGTTTTTTTTACAAACATAAATATTTACGACAAATATTGAAATATACCTATTACAAAAACGCATACGCGTGAGTCTGGACTCGGGATTCATTTTTGCCTACACAAATCATGAGATTTACAGACTTTAAGGCGTCAGAATTATACGGTAGAGACATACCAGGGCTAAGCTCGTGTCCGAGTGGTTTGCCTAGCCGGTGGCTATGCCACAAAAATCATGAAAAATAAATCTCGTGACGATTTAATGATTCTGTCATACGCTCCCTTTGAAAACCGCAGCAACAAAACACCAAGTATAAACCAAGTACATTGTTCGAAAACATTTTAAGTTTGTTATGCGGTGGTTATATTTTTTCAAACGTCCCAGTTACAGATATTGGAGATGTAACGGAGAGGAAACCTCGAAACAATTGTTGAAGATTTTACATGAAACATTCACGTCGTGCAGTATTTTTTTCTTTCTAGAATTTTACATAAACTTGGGGTGCTATTGTATTGTACAATATTGTACACATTCTGTGTATTGTTCTAATAACTGCGTATTACATATTTACACACTTAAAACAAAACTCTGTGTAAGTATTGTAATTTTTTTTTTTCATTTGCATCGGAGTAGGTCATTCGGATGTCATTACTTTTGAGATATAATTAAGCCAAAGAGTAGAATTATTAAAAATAGAAATAAATCATTACACAAAAACATAATAATATACATTTGCTATAATGTAATTTAAAATGTATTTAATTCTCTGAGGTAATATTCCCGTTCAGTGGACTGAATAATAGTTATTTTTAATTATGTTTATTATAAATAAATATTAATTTTAAAATCTATTAATGCAATCACATCAAATGAGAAAATATTAACTCTTAAATTGTTATTGCTGAGCTCTTCAGAATTGTTTATGAATACAAATATAAAATTAATATAAATAAAAAAAAAAATTTAGATTTTCTTTTTCAAAAATATTTCAAGGAACATTTAATAGTTACTAAATATAAGAATGCAAATAGTTATTAAGTCTAAGGAAAAATTTATACTAAAATACTCTAGCTTTTAGTATTTTTGAAAAATGTTCTCAATTCTCACCACCTTAAGTGCGTTTTTAAAACGTAATTATTATTTTTTTTTGTCAATGTTAAAAATCTTTATACCTCATACAATTTATCACACATGTCGTATTGTATACAACTTTATTGTTACTACAGTGTAAGTACCCAAATACTAATACATTGTTCATTCTATATTTTATAGACCTAGGTCGTCAACGTAAAAAATGGTAGAGTTACGTTATACATTTATTTATTTATGCATACCATAAACATATTCCTATAAAAGTATAACTGTATAAGTAATGACAGTAAGGTAGAATGTCGTTTGAGCAAAAATAATAATTTTGTACAGTAATTTGAGAACGTTTAAGACATTTCCATCACTCCGGGGAACACATTATTGTTTTTTTTAGAAGCAGTGTAAAATGTAAAAATATAAACTAAAAAGTGTTGTTATAACTTATAATAATAATAAAATTCATAATAATAATACAGAGGTACTATACAATCCATTTTTCAATCAATATATGTTTAATGTTACGCGATAATTCACGACGAGGATAATACTTTCACATTTTTCATGATTACAATAATGTTAATAAAAATAAAAATTAATATGAACTCGGAACTTCCTAAATAGAAAAAAAAACAAGGGTATTAGAAAGTGTGCTTAACAAATTAGAATAATATATTTTAAGCTTTCGGATTTATGTGAATAATGACCAACCCGTTTTTATTATTCGTTTTGATTTCTTAAACTGTTATTCTAAAGCCAATATTTTAAAATATTTTTCATGTTGCGACTAATCGGAGAAGATGAAAATATGACACTTTATGAAAGCAGCGGGAGATACAATAAATTGTCCGTATTCGATTTCCTCATATTTGAGCCCGTCGATTCTGAATGGCAGTGAAAAAGCTATTGGTTTTGTGGTGATGTACTTATTTTTATTTTCAATGGGTCCGAGAACATTATTAATGGTAAAATGACGTATTTCATTAATTTCCAACCTCGAATATATATAATATATGATATTATATTATATACAATCACTCTGCAATAAAACATAATTTGAATTTGACTAGAAAAGTTTAAAACACAATTTAATATAACAATTTATATATTTTATAATACTAGAAATACGTGCTCGAGAAGTGCATTTCTTTTTCACTTTTAATTGATATGAATGCCATACATTAATAATTATTAAGCTTGTATGAACGTACATACAATTATTTCCATATTATATATTTGCAAAATTAACAATATTACCAAAGCGTATCACATCTTAGCGTTACCTATTTCGGGTGTTTATTGTTGCATTGTTGCTGTAAATTAAAAATTTATAATTCATGAATTGTGAAATATTTAAATACACGTTAAATGGCGATACTGCACCTGAAGCGGAGTTCAATTACGACGAACATAACTTTGAAAGATCGTTTTCACATCGTATCGAAATTAATTAAAAACCACACATTTTCCCGTCCGTTCTCGTCTTGCTTATATATTTATCGTTGTGTTTTATTATAATATGTGTGATGGAGGAAAACGAAATCCGAAAGAATCCCGCGACAAGCGAAATAGCTTATATTATTTACGTATCGGGATTCAGGGTTATCCGTATATAGTTGACGATAATCGAAATTCTTGACTGAAACCCTATAAAAATATAATTAAATTATTTTATCCCCTGCTGCTGCTGTTGAGGTTTTTTTCTTTTTAGAAAGAGAAGCAGAGCGGCGAGTCGCCAAGCGTACGGAAAATTCGGATCAACGCTTAACTAATCGAACACTGACTTTGTGTTGGACACAATTTCTATTTGACATTTCAGAAATTTC